ATCGCCAGGTCTCTTTTCTGCAGTGCTGCTTGGTGGTGGCACTTTGTCATCAAGTCAATTCTGATTTGATTTGATGGCAAAACACCATAGGGTTTTCTCAGCTGTAATTTTTATGAAAGAAAACCTGCAGCTCTTTCTCCCATGAGACCACTGGGTGGGTTTGAACTGAGACTTTCAGTTAGCAGTTGAGCCGCCAGGGCTCCTTGGCATTGGGTATTGTTCTTGTTAAGTGCCATTGAGTCAGTTCAGACTCATAGCAACCCTATATAAGGTCTCCGAGGAGAAAGAAGCTGGTGGGTTTGAACCACCAACTTTGTGGTTAGCTGTCCACTGCTTGTCCTACAGTGCCTACAGTAGTGTGGTGGTGGTTTTGTACCACCAAGGCAGTTCCCACTGTATAGGATTTCCAAAGCTGTAAATTTTTATGAGAGCAGAAAGCCTCATCTTTCTCCTTTGGATTGGCTGGTAGATTTCAACTACTAACCTTCCAGTTAAGGAGCTCTGGTAGCGTAGTGGTTACAAATCGGACTGCGAACCACAAGGTCAACAGTTCGAAACTACCAGCTATTCCGCAGGAGAAAGATGAGGCGTTCTGTTCCCGTAAAGATTTATAGCCTCGGAAACCCTGTACAAGGTCGCTATGAGTTGGAACCGACTTCACGGCACATAACAACAACAACAACCTTCCAGTTAGAAGCCCAGCTTGTAAATCACTACGTTACCAGGGCTCCCTGACAGTGGGTATAAGGATGTTTCACTCTCCACATGACTGATGCAGCCAATAAAGCCACATGTCAAATCTCTTACCAGCACCACACGGTGCTTAATAAGACTGTAGTCTCAGGGGACATCTAGGTCATTTGGCATAACATAGTTAATGAAGATAATGCTCTGCATCCTACTTTGTTGAGTACTATCCGGGGTTCTTAAAAAGTACAACTATTGACTCAAGGAATCAGTTGGTTCACATGACTAATGGCCCACATGAGCTACAGTCTCCCCTAGCCTGCGACCACAAGAACCAGACGGTGCCAGTTACCACCACCAAGGGGCACAACAGAAGATCTTGGTTAGAGTGGGAATGATATGTAGAACAAGACTCAAACTCATAAAAATAATATAGGTAGGACAAACTCCCCAACACTATCACCCTAAAACATCCTTTTAACCTGGAACTGAAGCTACTTCCAGAGGTCCCCTTTCAACCAAATAACAGACTGGCCTCTAAAATAAACAATAACACCTGTGAGGAATATGCTTACAATAATCAAATATAAAATGGGCAACATTTGCCCAAAAGCAAAAATGAGAAGGGAGGGAGGGGCAGGGAAACTGGAGAGATGGAAATGAGGACGGCAAGGTGGAAACAGGGACAGCAACCAATGTCCTAAAACAAATTATGTATGAATTGTTGAACGAGAAATCAATTTTTTGTGTAAACTTTCATCTAAAACATAATAAAAAACGTTCAGAAAGACGGGGGAAAAAGTGCTTATTAAACAGACTAAAATTTAGGGTTAAAATGCTTCCCACTTTGCAGATGGCCCTTAATTTCAAGACAAAGCTACTCAGAAATGTCAATTTTATGATATTTTAATGGCCTAGGACTAAGATTGTCACAGGTAATAACAAAGTCAATCTTTAATGCTGCAAGAAGACTCTCACAAGCTAGAATGCCAAGAAAAAATTTTAAATATAAAACAGAAGCTCAAAATGCTAGCCGACCAAGAAATCCAGAACAGCTTCCTCACAGTCACTGAGGAAACACAGGCCCAGGAAGCTGAAGGGATTTGCCCACACCCAGCCCAAGGCAGGGCCTGGCCTGGCTCCCTGGCTTCTTCTTCCCTGTGGGCGGCTCACCCACACCCCAACCCCAGCTGATCCTACTGTCTGCACCTCCTCCTCCAGAATCCCGAAGATTACAAGGAGGGGATCATAAATCATTTTTCGCTCCTGAGTTTATAGCGTTCTTTTCTAAGGAGTTCAAAAGCGCTCAGTAATAAACTAAGGTGACGAGTTTATGCCTTTTGCTTTTAAAATGAAACTTTATTTGAACTCCTGGAGAGACCTTTACGTTTTGTTTTGTTTTTAATTTAGGACATTCTGCTCTTATTTCAAGGCTTTGCCCCATGGCACTTTCTGTGAGAGACTGGTTCTGAGGGAGGGAGGGGGTACACCTGAGCCTGCCTGCTCCGCATCCTGGGTCTAGCCCTCCTCTACTCTCCTACAGACTTTTCTGAAGGCCTGATTCGGCCATGGCTGATAGAATCCTCCCTTCTATGGTTTTCAGCAAGTCTCAACACTGACATGGAGGAGTTCCTCCTGCTTCCTCATTTAACTACTTGTCTGTCGTGTCTTCCTTTGCTGTTGATGTCTCTCCTACTGTCACCTCTTTTGTGGCCTCTAAGAGCAAAGAAATGGATCCCAAACTCCACCATCTGCTGGGGTTCACGCTGCCCACAGGGAGCACTTTGTCCTTCTTTACCCTGGACTCTTGTCACTGCCCTTTGGGGCTCAGAAAAGAGAATACAGTTAGCAAAGAGAACAAAAACGGAAGCTGAGAACAACCAGACTTTCAGAAGATGAGAGAGACACCTGACTCATCACACCTCCCAGGTTTGCAACAAAAGTGAAACTGTCTGGGTTTGTCTGGTCTAAAATTTTTTGCTAATGATTTTAATCAAATGTAAACTCATAGCTTGGTCACCACATAGCTTTTACAAACAAATGTGATGTGTTGCTCTCTGCTCACAACTGGGAGAACCACACGTTTAGCCTCTGGGCCTCCACATTCAATAAATTTTGGCGAATGAATAAAACCCAAGAGGGACTTAATGATTCAATGTGGGTCTACAGTTTTTATTCCCCCTGATAAAACTCTCCAAGCAAAACCACTAGGTAAAACTCTCCAAGTAAAACCACTAGGTTGTTCCAGTCAGAGGCGGAACAGCTGGATTGGGTTCTGTGAGTGACTTCGACAAGTCCCTTCACCACTAAACCATGAAAGAACAGCGGGGTGACCTCGTGTGGGCCCTGTGCCAACACATTTACAGACACAACAGACCCAAAGATGGAGCCCCACCAAACCCGGCAAAGCAACGTCAGCCAAGGAGTCAAGCCCACATAGATTAAGTATTACAGAAAATATTATATTAGGAACAAACTACCTACAAGGGAAGCTCTGTTCCTAACCTTTGAATGCAGCTGGAATTTCTCCCAGGAAAACACTACAATATTCTCATGGGGCTCACTGCTCTCCTACCATCACTAAGCAGCTATGGACAGCCACTTTAATGAAGAAGTATCAGGGCCTGGGCCACCTAAAATGTCTTGAACTACAAACCAAACAGCTAATATTAATCCCTGTGTTTTTTTGCCCTTCAGAAGACACAAAAATCATAAATGGAATGGACCTGTGAGGTCTCCTGGGCTCCAGAGATCTTTCAGGAACCAATGTCTGAGGCATTTCAAAATCTAGCAACCACCTCTTCTCTTGGCTGGAACTCCCAAGACACTGCAAGCTCCAGGAGGTTAGGGACTAGGACTGTCTTTCCCCCAACTATCTCTCACCAATGCCAAGAACAGCACCTTGTGAGAATATCAAAAAGTATTCAGGCAGTAACACCAAGTGGATACCATCTTTCTCTCTAACTAAGATTCTGAAAAACTTTCTCTAAATCATTCTCTTTAACAGAACAGTCCTGGGTAAAACAAACTGTTACTTGTCACATTGTAAGATCTTGGATGAATGGCCTTCCAATGTAACTGTACTTCTGTCTTATGTGTTAGTCAAAGGTAATGCTGACCTTCCTGGCTAATAAGTCTTCTTGGTGGTGGTGGTGGTGGTGTTAAGTGCCACTCATAGCGACCCTGTATAGGGTTTCCAAGGGGCAACTAGTGAGCTTGAGAACCAGGTTCCTTTATCCCATTGAGAAGTCTTCTTAGTACTTCTCAATGGGATGAAAGAACCTGGTTGCACAGCAGGTTAAACATTGAGCTGCTAAACCCAGCAGCCACTGAGGGAGCAAAGTGTGGCAGTCTGCTTTCATAAAGACTTACAGCCTTGGTATCCTTACGGGCACTTCTATTCTGTCCAGTAAGGTCACTGTGAGTTGGAATCAACTTGACAGCAGTGGATTTAAATGGGATGGCTGGCAATAGCCAACAGTAGCCAGCCTCTGTTGAGCACTTACTATGTGCTAGGTAGCACTTTTTAACTTCATCACAACCTTGATCACAACTCATCATCCTATGAGGTATGTTCTACTACAGAGCTGTAATTCCTGACTGCCATTCTAAAACCAGAAATGCTCTCAAACCCAAAAGCTTTTCTGTGATTTGGCAGCAAAACTAAATGGATCTGAACTCATTTGGAGGCAAAGCTGACCTGAATGAGCACTAGGTTATTTAGATTTTAGTTACCCCATTTACTGTTAATAGCTGTATGTTTTGCTACATAAATATGAATGTGTTTGATTACTAAGTGCTGCTCCAGGTCCCCTAAGGGCTTCTTAACATGAAGTATGTGCACATGATACTTTTTAAAACACCCAAATCTCCCAATTCTGTCATATCATGCACCAAGGGTGTCACATAAGGGATTGTGTATCTTTATTATCAACCCATTTCACAGATGGAAGACAGTTAGACTAACAGAAGGGAAGAAACTGGCCCAAGACCACACAATGGACAAGTCAACTCTGAGGCCAGCAATGCCCTACAGAGCCTGTGTGTGTAAGAAGTATGCTGGGCTATATCCAGACATGCCTTAATCTGCACCCCAGGACGAGAGAGACACAGAGAGAGAGAGAGACAGAGAGAGAGAGACAGAGAGAGAGAGAGAGAGAGAGAGAGATAGAGAGAGAGAGAGAGAGCAAGCACACTGTGCCAATACAGCTCTTCTTCAGAACCACGTAAGTGAGGAATGGGAGCAATAGAAGAGTGAGAAACGTCAACCAGAGTCAGAGCCATTGAAGTGGAGGGGTGAGATCGGTGCTTACCTTGCCTAGAACAGTGAGGCACGGTTTTGGGTCCAGTTCTGGCTGTTCGAGCTTCACCACTCCTACCCAGCCATATTCATATAAGTCCTCTTCATCATTGTTATTACACAAGCCCAGTGGGTGCATCTAGGAAACACAATGGAAAAAAAAATGTCAGCGACATAGGCTGCATTTATGCGATTCCTTGTTAGTTTGTTTTTTATCATTTCTCAAATACAACAGTCAAATCTAGCCTCAAAACATGACAGTAGATGGAGGGGAGAGCAGTTTTTCAACCCACAGAAAATGCTATTCAACACAATGAGCCGAACTCTAAGAGAAAACAATCAAGTGACTAGAAATATATTTATGGATACTGTCTCACTGCTTTTGTAAGCAGTGGTCACCCAAGGTGGACACCACCCCGATGAATGTTATGAAAGAAAAACAGCACAGTTCCCATATAAATGTCCATCTAAACAGCTGTGAAATAGCATGAATCTAGCATTACGTTAATTCGGTACCAATTACAGATGAGACTGATTGGATTAGTACCCAATATGGTCTGGTTTTTAAACCTTAAGAATAAGCATAGGACTTATAATCATCAAGGTTGGCAGTCGTTCTTGGAAACCATACACAGGGTCGCTATGAGTTGTAACCAAATTGACGGCACACAACAACAACATCAACAACTTCAATTTAGGTTAAAGTGCCCAGAGAGACATTCAGTGCTTTATGACGAGCCCACTAGCAATAATTACAGAATCACCAACATAATGAAAAGGCTGTTTAGAGGCCATCCTGGGTTACTGGGGGAAATAATGCTTTGAGGTCTTTCCAAAATTTGCCAAGCATAAAGCCAAAGATAGGGTAGCAAAGCATGGTGAAATTTTCACGATTTCCCCTGAGGCCATCTTTTAGCAAAATAATAAATTAGCACACAAAATAAAGGGTATTAAGGACTCCTGGTGTGGTGCTGTAGGATCATCACTGGATTGCGAACCACAAGGTTGGCAGTTCAAACCCACCAGCTGCTCCTTGGAAACCCTATACAGGGTGGCCATGAGTTGGAACCAACTTGACGACACTTAACAAAAACATGGAGTCCTAGAATGGTGCTGTAGGAGAAGCACTGGACCGCAAAGTCAGTTTGAACCACAAGGTCCTCAATTAACTTATTAACCACTCCTCGGAGACTCAGTATAGGGTCGCTATGAGTTGGAACTGACTTGACATCATTTAACCCAACCCATGAGTATCTTTAAAAATTAGGGAGTGTAGTGACTCTGTAGGATAAGCACAGGACTGCAAACATCAAGGCTGGCAGTTCGAGCTCACCAGACTTTCTGTTCTCATATAGATTTACAGCCTCAGAAGCCCTATACAGGTTTGCTAAGAGTTGGAACTGATTTGATGGCCATTAACAAAAGCAACAACGTTGTCCTATTAAGAAACCATCCAGATGAGGCTAAAAGGTCAATAATTGCTCTAAAGCAAGATAAAGGGGACAGGGAGACCGGAGCACTGGAAACAGAACCACCAAAAGGAAATGAAAGAAAATGTTGTTACATGATGAAAAATGGAACTCAATGATGTCACTCAACTAACTGTACAGAAATTGTCAAGGGGGAGCCTAATCTGCTGTGTAAACTTTTCACTGTTGTTGTTGTTAAGTGCCGTGAGTCGGTTCTGACCCAAAGCGACCCTGTACAGGGTTTCCGAGGCTGTAAATCTTTTCGGGAGCAGAAAGCCTTATCTTTCTCCCGTGGAGCAGCTGGTAGTTTCGAACTGCTGACCTTAAGGTTCGCAGCACAATTTGTAACCACTATGCTACCAGAGCTCCTTAATTAGAAACACACTATTGTTTAAAAAGTAGGGCAAGTCTAAGGTTTGTGTTCACAGTTGTATCATGTAGTCTGTCCTTTGAGGCCCCAGATCTCTGATAACAATGACAAGTGAAATCTTTGTGGATCAATGGAACCAGTCAAGAACTTGGCAAGCCTACAACAGTGTTAAGCTTGTTAAATACATACAAGAAATATGAGGGGCCTTCAAAAAGTTTGTGGAAAAATGGAGTTATAAGATCATGGATTTTTTTTTCCCCCATGAACTTTTTTGAAGTTCCCTTATGTGCCCTTAGGTTTATAGCACATTAGAAATACAAGAAGAAGCAACAGTTAAACATTCAGCTGCTAACCAAATGGCCTGCCATAGAAAAGACCTTACAACTGGTACCGTAAAGATTTCCAGCCTAGGAAATCTCATGGGGTAGTTCTGCTCTGTGACATGGGGGTGGCGATGAGTCAGAACAGACTCAATGGCACACAGTATCAATAACTGAGATAAAAGAGACCTGAGAACCTATTGTGATAGACAAAATAATGACTCCCCAAACAGATCCTGGTGTGGTGCTGAGGGATAAAGCACTGAACTGCATGGTCAGTTTGAACCACAAGGTCAGTGGTTCTAATTCACTAGCCGTTCCTTGGAAACCCTATACAGGGTCACTATGAGTTGGAACACACTCAACAGCACTTAACAACAACAACAAAAGATGTTCATGTCCTAATCCCCCAAACTTGGGAATGCATTAAGTGACAAAAGATTTTGCAGGTATGATTTAAGTTTGGGATGGGACGATTATCCTGGATTATCTATCCACGAGGGCCCAATGTAATCACAAAGGTCCTTATAAGGGAAAAAGGGGGGGGGAGGGCAGGTGAGACACAGAGAAAATGTAAAAACAGAAACAGAGGTTGGAGTGCTGTGCTTTAAAGATGGAGGAGGGGGCTATAAGCCAAGGAATGAGGGTGGTCTCTAGAAGCTAGGAAAGGCAAGGAAACGAATTCTCCCCTGGAGCCTCCAGAAGGACACAGCCCTGCAGACCCGTTTTAGATTTATGACCCTAAGAACTGGAAGAGGATAAACTTGGATTGCTTTAAGTCACTACATTTGTGGTGATTTGTTACAGCAGCAACAGAAGCATATACTTGTTTCTTTTACAAATAAGGTGAGTAGCTTTACCAAGATAAGAGCAAATGGCACACCCAAAAGTAACCTCTCAGATTCATGACCCAGTGTTTTTTCTCACTCTACCCATTTAACTTCATCATCCCTTCACCCAAGAGCTGAACATCACCTGACTAGGAGGAAAAAAAAAACAAGTAATAGAATCTTTAGAGGAATATGTTTCTAGCTCTAAATTCTGTGGTACAATCAGGGACGGGCCCTGGTGGGTGAGTGGTGGCCTTCTAGCCTTCCACACAGGAGACCTGGATACATTCCTAGTCAATGTGCCTCATGCATATCCACTACCTGTCTGTCAATGAGGCCTCTGTGAAGCTGAACAGGTTTTAGTGGAACTTCCAGACTCTGATGGACTAAGAAGAAAGGACTGGAGACATCTACTTCTGAAATTTAACTAAATAAAACCCTATGGGTTACAATGCTTCCATCCACAACCAATCATGGGGCTGGAGCAGGATCAGGCTTGGGCAGCATTTCATTTTACTGTGCCGGGGATCACCGTGAGTCAAGGGCCAACTTGCCAGCATTAACAACAACAAAAGTTTAGTGCTAGCATCAAGAAACATTGAGTTGCTAGAATGTTTGGGGGTACGTTGTGGACAACTGCTGAGCCCTAAGTTGAGCTTTGGAAGAAGAGTTAGACTGGTCAGGGTAAAATCAGAGAGGGCAATGTAAGTCTGTCTGGTAGCGCGCCCTTCCTTCCAGGATGGCCTTCCAGGGCAGTGAGCTCAGGGATGGTTCTTCAGTGATAACATGCAAAGCCCTCCGGCTGAAGAGAAGATAAGTAAGGACAGCAAGCCAACCGCACCAAGCTCATCACCTCACCTCCAGGAGAGGGCTCGAGGGCTGGCTCAAGTCAGCTACCATAATCCCAGGCCCAGTCATTTCAACGGCTGTCAAATAAACTGTGGACCCTCTTCTGCAGAATCCCAGGATATTTTTAACCCAGCCACACAACTTGGTGCTTTCCAAATGGAAAGTCACTTTTTGGTACTTACATAAGCATGGGGTTTGGCCAGTGTTGAGGGGAGGAGAGGTACCGTCCAGGTCTAAGACCTTGTATCTATATCAAATCTTAACTGAAGAGAGAAGCCAGACACAAAAGTCCACATAAGGAATGACCCCATTTATATGGAACATGGTTGTTGTTTAGTTCCATAGAGTTGGTTCCGACTCATAGTGACCCTGTATAGGGGTTTCAAGGAGTGGCTGGTGGGTTTGAACCGCTGACCAGGTAATTCAAGCTGACCTTGCAGTCCAGTGCTTTACTCCACAGGAACATAGTCCAAGTCAAACTAGTGGCAGCTGATTAGTGGTTGCCAGGAGTTAGGGGGGCAGAAGGAATGGTGAGTGACTGCTTCATGGGTATGGGGTTTCTTTGGGGTGGGGAGGAGGGAGGAAAATGTTCTGGAATTAGATTGAAATGATGGTTGTACAAAACTGCAAGTGTACTAAATGCTATTGAACTGTACACTGTAAAATGGTTACAGTAATGAATTTGATATTATGTGACCGTCCTGGTGTGGTGCTGTGGGATGATGCACTGGACTACAAGGTCCGTTTGAACTGCAAGGTCAGTGGTTCAAACCCAACAGCTGTTCCTTGGAAACCCTATATAGGGTCACTATGGGTCAGAACTGACTTGACAGCACTTAACCACCACTACCATATACAGAAAATGTTTTTTGTTTTTAAAACAAACCCAAAACTTTATTTAGTGCTTCCTCAGAAATCACTTACAACACAGCTAATACAGGGCAGCGGCTCTTCACCACATGGCATGTTGCAAGTAACTAGTCAGGCAAGTTGAAAACAGGGTTCTCAGACAGGTAAACAACTTCAGGGGGATTTGCGAGTCACAGTAGTTATGCTAAAGCTCTGCAGAGACCTAGAGGTTTTGTTTTGTTTTCTTTTATTAAAAACAACTTACTAGTCCTTTGCTACAAACAAACATTTCCTACCCTTGATTATAAGCACATTTTGCATTTCATAAAGTCACAGTTTCATGGGATGCACTTTGGGAAACACACAATTAGGAGGAACATGTGTGTGAGACTATACCTCATATCACTATATAAGGCAAAACACCTATGGTGCACGGAGTAAAGGAAAAAATG